TTCCCCCTTTCTCCCTTTCCCCCTTTCCCCCTTTCCCTCTTTCCCTCTTTCCCTCCTTCCACAGTACTTCTTTACATAGTCCTGGCTGACCTGGAAATCACTATGCAGACCAGGCCGGCCTTCAAACTCACAGGAATCCACCCACCCCTGCTGCCAGAATGCTGGGTGGGATTAAAGGTATATGCCACCATGCATAGATAGCTGTGATTTCTTGACCATGACTAACTTCAAGTCTGTTTATGAAGAAAAAAATGAATACAGCTACAATTTCAAAGCCAGGTCACTTCTTTCTATAAGTCTAAATTATATTTTTAAATTAATGTTTTGTGATTGACATTTTAAAATGTAATGGGGAATTCTCCAATATTTTAGTTAATATACAAGCTGTGTATTTTTTTAGTCTCTTGAATAAGTGCTGTTATTCACAAATGACATAATTTTGGCGACTTAGAGTGGTTATGAAATTATATCAACAGATGAACATATGTATTATGTTGGTGGGATGACTGTTTTCTTGGAGTACATACATGAAATGGTAGTGAGGACTGGGTAGATAGGTAGTGGAAAGACATAAATCCAGCTAGCCAAATGAACAGCTAACCTTTGTACCCCACAGGGATGTAATACAATTATTCAAGGGCAAGTAAGAGCTCTCTGGTATTAATCTTATTAGACTGAGAAATTATGGTAACATTCTCTTCAGGATAGCATAAAGAATAAAGATGAGAAGAAACCCTGGGCTCTTTATGTAGTAGTGTTTGTTACTTGATTTTTAAAATGATGCAACCTTATACTTAGAAATCTTAGCAGAAATGACTGGGGTCCCTGAGTCTGCAGGTCTATGTTAGAATTCTGCCTGTACAGTTTCTACCTTTTGCTTATTTGTTGTGTTTGGTTGGGCTTTTTTTTTTTTTCTTTTTGATTTTAAGACAGCGTCTCTCTGTCTAACAGTTCTGGTTTTTCTGGAGCTCACTTTTGTAGACCAGGCTGGCCTTGAACTCACAGAGATCTGCCTGCCTCTGACTCCCAAGTGCTGGGATTAAAGGTGTGCGCCACTACCGTCCTGCTCTTTTCTATTTTTGTGACTGTAGACAAATTGTTTTACCTCCAACTCTCAGTTTTCTCACCAACTAAATAGTAACAATCATAGTGTGTTCTTTTGATGAAGAATTCTTCCACTAGGGCTACAGGATGCAACTCAATGGCAGAATGTTTGCCCAGCATGTGCAAGGTCCTTGTTTTTATCCCCAGTGTTATCACCACTACTTCCAGAATCCCCCAAACATTCTCTCATTAAATATGCTGCTTGACACATGATACTCTCTTTTTAAATTTTAGCTGTTTATATCATCTGTTATTAATATTATTATTATAATCCCCCAAGCAATAATAAAACTGACATTAAAGAAATCCTGGTTTGTCTTTCTGGTATTTGTTACAGTTTTTAATATGCTATAGTAATTTAGAAAGTACAGTTTAATCTGTATTCTTATCTGACCATGTAACTAATTGAAAGAATATTTTATGAGACATCATTATCTCTCACATTTTTTAAGGGATACAATGGAATGAGAATTTTGAGCATTGCCTATCACAAAATTTCTCAATTTTTCCAATTAACTGTAGTGAAAATTTAGTACCAAACGTCTGCTATATCTCTTTATATTTTATAATGCTTTTCGAAGGCTTCAAACTTACCCAGTATGTTTTCGGGTGTTATTTTGTGTATATCCCACAGGAACCAATTTTTATACCCATAGGGATGATATTACCCCCACCAAAAGTACATGATTTAGTGCAGTGTTCTCAACTAAGGGTGATTTTATTACCTGGGAGACATCTGTGAATTTTTGGAGATCTTTTTGAGTTGTTATATCCTGGGGCAGTTGGGGTTGTTGCTGTTGGCATCTTGTAAGTAGAAAGCAGGATCCCACAATGCACAGGAGAATGGCACCCCACAACAGATAGTTATTGTGAATTCAAAAGCCCTTAGTGCTGAGTTTGTAGAACCATATTGTAGCATGATGTAAAGTTCAATATTGTCTGAATAATCCAGAAATCATTAAGGAAAGTGAAAGGCCACATCAAGCCAGAGACCTCAAAGGAAAGATAAGAGCCAGAGTTGTGTTCTTGGCCTTCAGATTGAAGCTGTGGACAATGTGGTTTTTTTTTCTGTAGAAAAAAAGTGGCCATATCTATCTTCTAAGTATTGTTTTGTTTTAGTAATACAGTGGGTTTTGTTCTTCCTGTTAACTATGTATAAAATATACACATATTTTAAGTACATGTTCATTGTTTAGTAACACTTTTCTGCTTTCTTTTTTATGGATTTATCTTGCTTTATGAAACTGATGAACTGGAATTTTTGTAGATTAATTTTATACACTATATATTTATTCATCTGATTTTGTTGTATTATATTTTTAGAGGCTTGATGTCATTCTCAATAGTTCCTCATTTGATCTGTCTCTTAACATTGCTGTTTTAAATTTAGCAATTTCTCTGCCTCTTGGGTTTTAGAGAATGGGGACAACCAGATTGTTATGCAGCTCCATGGTTGGCACTTTTATAGTGTTTTCAAGACTTTGGGTTCCATCCCCAACACTGACCAAAAAAGGGACTATGAATTTCTCTTGAAGGTGAGATAGCTTTCTTCATGGACATGGTCCAGGTTGGATGCCAGAGCTCCTGGTACCTGTGTTGTTCCATAATGTTCACATTTCCTTCTTCTGATGCCCAGAGTTGGTGTGGAAGAGCTCTCTGAAGAGGACCAGAATGAACACCGCTGGCAGTACTTCAGGTGACGCAGACACTACTAAGAAAATAATTCAATGGGCTTTTCTTTTCTCTTATAACTCGAATGGTTTCTCTTTATGCTGTTTGCTTTTTCTTTCCTGAATGTGCCAATCCTCATTCCATGGGAAACAGGAAAATCAATTCTAATCATTCTTTCCATTCTTCCTCCATGTTGATTGGTGTGTCAATGTTATTGGGACTATGTGCTTTCCTCCCACATTTTGGGTCATGTGTTTTCAACCTCAGAGGCTAAATTAATGTCTTCATTTGGTACAGCTGAGCTTAGTGTTAAGGACAGCTTATTTTCAGAGTCACCTATACTTTCTCCAGAAAACCCTCCTTCTGATCTGATAAGCAAGGCTTATAACTAATTCAGAGAACTAGAATTTCATATGTCAGCCTTGACTACAGCATAGCTCACATGATCTTAATTAAATGCCAGTGTTGTATATTTTTAAGTATGTATTTGTATATCTGTACTTTCTCATTATGGTTCAGATGACATGAAGAACATTGATTTTTAATAAATGAAAGGATGAAGTTTCCACTAACACAATTTGTTTCTTTGTCTACATCCAACTGTGTGTGTGATGAAATTGTGGTTAAGAGTGGTGATGAAGGAGAAAAGTAAAACCTCCAGTTCATTATTGCCTTTCTGGATCTCTAATTGATATGTTTTCTTCCTGGTCTGATCTGTAGATACATTAAATGCAAAATCATCTTGAACTGAAATCTTGTGAAAATATTTTGTTCCCTGAAAACAGGATGAAAGAAACCATATATATATATATATATATATATATATATATATATATATATATATATGCTGTAATGGCATGCACCAAATTCATGGAAGTGTTGAAATATCTCACTGGGTTCCTGCTTCTTATTACTGTTTTACACACACACACAAACACACACACACACACACACACACACACACACACACACTAAAATGTTTACTAGTGGAGTTGCAGAGGAACCCCTTTTACTAAAGTGTCCTGCCTTCAAGGAAGAAGGTATATTAGGCCAGTGTTAAGTTATCACACCAGTCCCTCTGTGCAATCTAGCAGGTCATAGATGGGAATCTGTTAAGGTGGGGCATTCCAAGGCCCAGGATGTGAATCTGGGTGGTACCTGAACTGGTAGATTTGGGCCATTTGGACCACCCCCTGAGGTGAGGGGCAGAGCCAGGTCTCCTAGACCCATGCCAATGGGCCAGCTCTCATCCCTGTGGTGAGGGATCTCTCACCACACGCCTGTGGTGTACCATCTCTCCCAAGTGCTGGGGGTCAGCTCTCCCATGGTAGTGGTGGGGAATTAAGTACTTTCTTAATTGAAGTTCCCTCCTTTCAGATAACTCTAGTTTGTGTGTCAAGTTGACATATGACTACTACGTTGAACCACTTCATACTTGGAAAGGGCAATGCTTTGTCCTTACTGGAGTAGACACTTATTCTGGTTATGTATTTGCATTTTCTGCAATATGCTTCTGCCAAAACCACCATCCATGCACTTATAGAATGCCTTATCCACCAGTACTTATCTACACAGTACTGCTTCTGACTAAGGAACTCACTTCACAGCCAGAGAAGTGTGACAGTGGGCCCACGATCATGGAATCCACTGGTTTTATCATGTTCCCTACCATCTTGAATCAGCTGACCTGATAGAAAAATGGAATGGACTTTTGAAGACAGTTCCAATTAGGTGGCAGGGTTCTCCAGAAGGCAGTATACACTCTGAATCAACATCCAATATACAGTACAGTTTCTTCCCTAGCCAGGATCCATGGGTCCAGGAATCAAGGGTTAGAAAAGCGTAAATAATTCCATTCACTCTCACCTTTTGTAACCCACTAGAAAAGTTTTTGCTTTCTGTTCCTACTACCTAGAAGTTTTGGTTCCAGAGGGGAGCATTCCTGTCAAGAGCCACAACAAACATTTCATTGAATTGGAAACCACCTTCCCCCTGTGTAGAAGAAGCGGCAGGCTGCTTTCCTGCCTGGCTCCTGCATGGCTAGCTTTACACCCAGAAACAACAACACACAAACTATATTCATTTAAAACACTGCCTGACCCATTACCTCCAGCCCCTTATTGGCTAACTTTCACATATTGATTCAACCCATTTCTAATAATCTGTATGTCACCACGAGGTCGTGGCTTACCGGGAAAGATTCAGCATGTCTGACCTGGCATCTTCATGGCGGGCAGCTTTCTGCCTCTGCTTTCTTCCTCCCAGAATTCAGTTCTGTCTTCCTCGCCTACCTATGTTCTGACCTATCAGGCCAGGCAGTTTTCTTTATTAATTAACCAATGAAAGCAACAGATAGATAGAAGACTGTCCTATATCACCCCTGATTACTTTGCCTTCTGATGCCCTTAAACCAACAGGCTAAGAAAGGAATAAAAGAATTAGGAGGGATGATTGATCCAGATTACCTTGAGGAAATTGGATTGAGTCTCCACAAATGGTGATAAGAGCAATTATGTCTGGAGTGCAGGAGATACTTTAGGGCATCTCTTGGTGCTATCATGTCCTGAGTTTAAAGTCAGTGGGAAACTACAACAGCCTAATTCAGACAGGATGGTAAAGAGCGCAAACCCTTCTGAAATGGGACACTCCTCCAGGAAAAGAACTTAGATCTGCTGAGGTCCTTACAGAGGGTGGAGGGAATACAGAATGGGTGGTAGAGGAAGGTAGTTCTAAATACCAGCTGTGGCTACATGGTCAATCACAGAAACGGAGATTAAGTTGACATGAGTGCTTCAGTTGTATTTTGATAACAATGCGTTTGTGCAGATATTTGTGATTTCTTTCAATTTTTTTATCATATGTTGTAACATCAACGAAGAGAATATCAATGGTTATATTTAAGCTTGAGCTACTAAAAAGATGTCTCCCAAGGGACAGTGTCACTCATTATAAATTTATAATGCATTTATATTTATACAAAGGATAGTTATATCATGTTAAGCATAGTTATGACCTGGTTAAATATATAATGCATTTGTGATTGTATGCGGGATAGTTATGTGTAGGAGTTATTATGACCTGGCTATTGTTTTCATTTGGAAATTAATCATGACATAAGAAGATATGATTGTGTATCAAGTTGGCAAGGGGTGAATTGTGATGACTGTTCTCGGTTGTCAACTTGACTATATCTGGAATTAACTATAATCCAGAAGTGGGGATACACCTGTGAGAGATTTTCTGCTTGTTTTTAAGTAGGTGAATCTTCTAGTTTGGATTTTGATTGGAATCTTGAGGCGGGAAGACCTACATCTTGGATCTAGATTTTAAGGCTGGAAAACACAGGCCTTAAATTCATATCTTGAGGCAGGAAGACACATGTCTTTAACCCAAATCTTGAGGTAGGAAGACATACCTTTACTATGGACTGTACCCTCTGCTGGAAGTCTATATAAGAACATAGAAGAAGAAATCTTTTGCTCTTCGCCTGCTTGCTCTTGCCTTGCTAGCAATCCATTCCTTCATTGGCATTGGATCTCATGTCTTCCAGCACATACAGAAGATCAGCTGAGACACCTAGCCTGTGGGGCAGAGCAACTACTAGATTCTTGGACTTTCTGTTCACAGATAGCCATTGTTGGACTAGCTAGACCACAGCCTCTAAGTCATTACAATAATTCCCCTATACACATGGAGTGAGTGTGTGTGTGTGTGTGTGTGTGTGTGTGTGTGTGTGTAGAGAAAGATTTATTCCATAAGTTCTGTGATCCTAGGGAACACCGACTAATACAGTACAGTAGACAAATAATTGTTCTAGAATGAAAGTTATTAATTTTTAGGTATTTATCCATTCCTGAAAACCACATCTATTTAATTTCTTTGTGTTCTCATTTGGTACAGAATTTCTACATTTGTCTCATTCTTAATGAAACTAAAGATAATTCAATTCATTCTGGAGGAAAAGACGGCAGTGTCTGTTACCGTGTGCTCTTCCTAGGTGTATCTGAATGCTGAAATGTGACATAATAAAGCTCCAGATTTCTGCAGTGTCCCAGGTGTTACAATCAGGAGATAAATACATTATAAACAGTTGCCAACCCAGGATTCGAGGAAGCTAAGTATTACGGGACTCTGAATCTTTCATCAAAAGCCTGTGTCTGATCTTTCTTGCTGTTTAACATCACTCCAAATGTCTTGGCCCATTGCTTTACTCTTGTTCACATTGGCCAGTTTGATTCTGGGCTATGACCCAATGGTGGAGTCCTTTATAGGAATCCCAGCATAAGTGTGTCATCCTTGGGGCCTAGTTCAGATGCCAAAAAAGTAATTATTGAATCTCTCTAAAGTAAATATTCTCAAATGGGAAAAATTATAGAATAACCTTCATGTCCATGCCCCATGTCTGTCTTCTGAGGGGTCATTTATAAAGCCATGGCAAGCTGGAAAGCAGATATTGACTTCCCTTCTTGAATTTGCCTACTAAACACTTATAACAGTAGTTGGTACCTTCATGAGACCCCATGAGTCAGATTGGGAGAGCCAGGCAGTCCCCATAGTTCCTGTGCAGTCAGGCCCTGTGTATCTCAGACATATGGTTGATAGCAAGTGGCTCCAGGGAAGACTGGACCTTCCACACAGAAGACTGATACAAGTAAGGAAAGTAGGTGTTGAGTAGGACTGTCTCCAGAACTTAAGTCTCCTGGGAGTGAAGAACCAGATCTGAACATGGCTACATTGCTTAGTAACTGTGTCTCATTCTACTTGATACTTTCTCCGTGTCCATTACTTTGAGGGGAAAGAGAATTTCAGCAAAATATTTCTGAAATTATCAAAAAGGAAATATTGCATAATTATGAGAATCTTTAGTTTCCCATTGCCTGTCCTTACCAATTCTAGTACCTTATGTTAGGACTCTTTACAATGTCAGGTTTTCAGACCCTGAAATGTAATGAGCTTATAAATCATCAGTATTAATTAGAGATAGGAAAATAAGCTGGTGTGGTTTTGAAACATCGTTACCAAAGTTATCATTAAATATTCTTAACTGTGGCATTTAAAATTCTTCCCCAGAAGCAAAGACTGGAGCAGTGAATATCTAGGTACTAACTTGCACTCACCACATAACTAACATTTGACATGTTTTTCCCACTTCAGAGTCAGGTGTCCTGAGTCCACTCCTAAATGCAATCTCCTCAGTAACCACATCTGAGAAAAGCAACATGAATTTTACACACTTAGGATCCAACAAAAGTTTATGCCTTTGGCATGCCTGTTTACTCTCTTTCTACAATCCAGTCCATTTCCACATTTTCTTGTAACATTGATTTTTAAGTATTCTTGATAGTTATTTAACAGAATGTCCTATCATCTGAATTTTTCTGATATCTCATTATGACAAGGGGCAAATAATCATTTTTTATCAAAAAATACTGTAAAAGTACAGTCACACGTTTCTTGCTGTATCCTTTCAGGTGGCACATATTGCCAGGCTGTCCATTTTTTAGTGATATGCCATTTGGTTAGTTAGCTATCATAGAATACTGATCCTAGGTCTCTCTCTAGTTTCAAAGTGCCACTTTTCTTTATGCAATTAAAAAGTTATCAGTAGAGTGATTTTCCCCACCGTATGAATGACCAGATTCCTAATGAGCCAACAGTGAAATCATCCACTAGTGGTTACTCTGAGGACAGTAGCATTAAGACTTTCCTAATTCTCCCATTTCTTTAAGATTCATGGTCCCCATAAAGAACTTTAGAAGGTTTGGGGATTTATTTTGCATACTGATGAAGTTAACAGTCATTTCATTGTCTAAGCATTCAATTGAAAAGAGTTTAACTTACTGTGTGGCATTGAAGTTGTGTCTCTACAGGACTGTAGCAAAAAGAGTTAGCAAAAAGAAGAAAAAGGTGATGACAATATGGAACCTTGGCTGAAATTAGGGTTTATTCTAGAATCTACACTTCCATTGTCCACATATTTAAAGCTTTAATTAGTTAAAAATAAGGTATAGAATATTGCTCCTCACTCATAGTAACTATGAGTGCTCAGTGACCACATGTGGCCAGCAGGTGCTAATAATGACATTGCAGGTACAGAACACTGCAAAAAGTTCTGTTGTGCAGTGGTGACTTAGACTCTCAGGTTCCCCCATACCAAATTGTGAGGATCATGAGCTTGTCATCAAGTTAAGATGGTTCTAATTTCCTAGGTTCACTACAAAATGTTTTGAATGCAGTATTTTAGGCTCTGTTTGGAATTCTGGCCTGCCACATGGGCCTAATGCAAATGGATGAGTCTCATTGGTATTTCTGTGCTTTGAGTGAAAATAGATCAATTTTAGTCATCATAAGTAGTTCTTTTAAAATAGAATCAATTTAAAGCTTTGCTAGAACTCAGGAGGCAGAGGCAGGAGGATTGACACAAGTTCAAGGTATGGTATACACAGTCAATTCCAGGCCAGGCAAGGCTAGCTACACACAAACCCACAAACCAAAATGATTTTGTTAAACATTATTTTCTTCTTATAGTAAAGATTTGAGGTTAGCTAAATTTCCTTATTTACAGCTCTTATTACATTTAATTTTATTTTCTTCATGATGGGACAGTGTTCCCTGTGGACCTCCTGTTTCATCCAGGCTGTTATACAGTAAGTTTGCTTCACCAGAACTGATGCAGAAGCCCTTTAAGAAGCAAACTTCTTTCGCAGTCCTAAGTGCAGGGAAGAGAGATTCTTAGTGGCAGATCTGAAGTGCCATATTCTTGGTTACCCCGTATTCTTTAGCAGCCTTTCTGTCGTTTGGCTGAGGAAAACATGCCACCTGCTTTTCTGAGAGGCACTGCACCTCTGAGTCTGCATCCAGCAGTTCACTTTCAGTGGATTTGTCTGGCACAAAGTATTTTTGTGCTGCTTCATAAGGTTTAATAGTATATTATTGCCCATTGGCCTTATAAATGCTACCATAGATACCTTATAGAACACCATCTAGGGGATGTTTCTGTATGGAATGTACATTAAAGGGCTCTAAAAACAGGTCAGAGTTGAAAAATAGCTAGGAGTTCCTAATGTGATCTTGCCTCCAGCTACTTTCATATATTAGATATTTGCATGCCCTAAGGGTCTTAGGTAACTTCTTTGGTCAGCTTTTGAGCCCCTGAAGTAGATGGTTTTCTTGTCAAAATATAGGTCTCTGAGATTTGATGTTCAAACATTACCAGATAAGGTCTAGTTGCAAGATCCCAGATGCCAGAATTCTCTGCCAGGAAATAGCCTCCAGCATAGAGTAAAATCTGTGTAATTCAGTGCAAATAGTCCATCTAGTCCCGGGTTCACAGTCAAGAATCTGGTGCCAGGTCCAGTATTGGATTGTATCAAGTATCCAGAACACTGCCTGACCCTGAATGCAAATATGTACTGTGTATGTGAATTCATCTTGTGGCTAAAACTTTGCCTCCAACAGAAAATGAGGTAGCTGCTTCCTTTTTTTCTGTCCCCCTTACCAAGGGCACAAGCTTGAGACAGGACAGAATAAAGGTTGACTTTGAGAGGCTGGGTCTGTCTGTGCTATCATTTACTTCTTAATTACATGTAGTCTCTTTTCTCTAGAAAGATCCCAAGTGTTACAGGTGATGGGGAGGAATAAGAAAAATAAGTATGTACTTAGGGCTTTGTATGTCCAGCCCAGTATCTGCTTGCTGGACTAGGACAGCTTGTACTGGACAACAGAACATCCCTCTTCAAGCTTATAATGGCCTAATCTGCTGAAGGCTTGATGTTCTATTACATTTTATGATGCTGTCCATATTTTTGAGATACTGGGAGGTTGAAAGGAGTAAAGGATTTTCTTGGTGTCTATTTTTTTCTCTCATTGATCCATGTTATCTATGTTATATGTGTCACAATTCTCTGTCTCAGAATTGTAAGTTATGATATAAATAGTTAACAGATGCATGCAACAATAGGTAGCATATGACAAAGCTAAGACAATCATCCTAGTGTTCCTCAGGAATTAATTGTAAGTGGATTTTTGCCACTTGGTCTTTTTTCTTTTATTTTCAGTTCCTTTCAAATGTGCATGTTTTCTCAGATGTGTGAGTTCTCTGTTCATCTTTGATAAAGAGAGTGTGGGAACACAAGGACAAAAGCATACCAGGACTTCAGTTAATGATACTGATGAAGAAAGCATTGTGATACTTGTTAGAAGGACAAGACAGCCTTTAGTGAGAATCACTGTGACTGACATAGAGTTCTACTGTGATGGGGTTTTGCAGTGTGAGAGAGTGATAGGAATTGATGGATGATATTTGCCAACAGGAAATATCAGGGATAAGTGGGTATTCTTGCTGAAGGCTGGCTGTGGAGATCAGATATCACTTGAGAGATGGCAGATATTAAGAAGGATCAGATATCAAAGGTGGGAGTTCTAGCTAAACCAGCTTAAGGAAATTTTTGATAAATCTTCGTGATGCAAAGGGGAGAAGCCAAGAAGTTAGGTCCTAATTGGGAAGGTGATTCAAAAACTTGGAAGAAGGAGAGATTCTGTCATTATGCATACTAAAAATGTCAGGGAAGGGAGGCTTGGGAGACGACTGTCAGTGAAGTATTTGCTGCGCAAGTATGAAGACCTGAGTTTACTCTCCAGAACCTATGTCAAAAGCTGGATACAGTGGTGCATGTCTCTAACCCCAGCACTGGGGAGAGAGACTTTGCTGGGCAGCCAGTATAACCCAATTGGTGATTTCTAGGCCAAACAAGAGTTCCAATCTTGAAAAACAAGGTGGCTGGCTTCGGAACACCTAAGTTTTGACTTCTGGCCTATCACACATACACAGATGTTTGCACATGTAAGCACATGTACAAGCATACACACAAGAAAGTTAGAAGAAATATATTGATATCACTGCTGTATCTCTATCAAAAAATAAGACGTGGGATGGAGAAATGGAAAGATGGTAATAAAGAACCTATAATAAATGATAATGTAGAATCTTGATGGCTCTGCAGGTGTTTACTACAGATTCCTCCCATGCTTCTTTGTACACCTGCCTAATTTCATAATAAAATATTGTGGGCATCGAAGGAATTCAGGGAAGAAGTCAGGAAGCAGCCAAGCAGAAGGGACCTAGGATTTAGTAGTGGGGACTGCTTGGTACAGGAAGGCAGGTGGAAAACTGCCAGCTTATTTTTCAGGGCCTTGCAAAGGGCATGTGTGTTTATAATATCTGACTCTTTGGGATCTGCTGTGGTGTGGGCCTGACTTCTGCATGATGGCCTTTCTCTCCTTGAAGCTAACCACTCCTGTTTTGGGAAGATAGTCACTGACTAAGCCAGCAAGGCTTCCATGGCCTAAGCTAATGCTTTCTGTTTTTCTCTTTGTCTTCTTCCCTGGTGACTTTTAGAGTTGGTGTTGACCCAGATCAAGATCCACCACCTAACAATGACAGCTTTCAAGTCTTACAAGGGGTAAGTCACAAATGTCTGCCTTCTGAGTAATATATGATTTGAAAATTACTAAAACCGAGCATTTGCTCTCCGTGCTGTGTATTGTATCTGGTTTCCCTCATTGTCATCTTGACAACAATCTTTTAGATTGCTGCCGTAAATTCTGGCTTATAGGTTAGAAGCTGAAAATTGAGTCTTAAGTGAGTTACTTAAGGCCAGATAATGAGAAAGTGATGCATTTTGTAAGTAAAACAGGGCAGGAACAGCTGACTACCAAGATGAGTAGAGATTCCATCTAGATAGTTCCATACCTGTCAAAACAGCTCCATTCTCTGTTTCACGTTGCCTCTCCCTCTACACTCAAACACCAGCAAAAAAAGGAATTAAATGAGGTGACTGGGTTGGTGTCATGCAGCATTGCTTACTGTATGTCTCTTAAGACCTGGGGGCTGAAATATTAACAAGAGGTACAAGTCAACTTTGCTGGCAGTGTGGCCCCAGGAGTTCCCATCAAGTCTTGGGACATCTACTCAGGTGCATCCAGATGTTTGACGTCTACCATAGAAAAGAACTTGAAACTGAGTCCAACCAAGTTAGGTTTTGTCGATTGAGCAGAAGACAAAATGGGTGAGAAGAGAGTCAAATGTGAATGGTAGCAGATAAATACAGTCAAGTGACTCAGTAATAGCTACATGTGTGATTTGGTGGTTTTGAAGCTGTTTCATCTGCAAATGAGCTTAGCTATTGGGGACAGTATTTAGTTGGATACTTAGTTATATTTTCCACAGAATTCTGTCCTTGAAGTAGAAACTTCTTTGTAAATTTCATTGGCTTGCAGGTGGAGAAAGGGTAGAGAGAAAATAATCATCAAGGAATCCTTATACAGATAGGTCACAAAGGGATTAGACTTAAGGTACAACTAATAAGTAATAAGGCACAGTTTTAACAGTTCTATGTGTGAGAAACTGTATTCATTAAATCACTGCTTGGCCCATTAGCACTAGTTTCTTATCGGCTAATTCTTACATCTTAATTTAACCCATTTCTATTAATCTGTGTATTGCCATGTGATTGTGGCTTTCCGGCAAGATTCTAACCAGCGTCTGCCTCGGGCAGAAGATCTGTGGCATCTCTCACTCTGCCCTTCTTCTCCCAGCATTCAGTTCTGTTTTCCCTGCCTACTTAAGTTCTACCCTATCAACTAAGCCAAGGCAGTTTCTTTATTCATCAACCAATGAAAGCAACACACAAACAGAAGGAACTCCTACACCAGTGTGACACAGTTTCCCTTGACCTCCTCTTCTCAAGTTTCACATTAAATCATGGAGGTATTTTCAGAGTCAGTTCTGCTCACCTTTTGAAATCATTTAAGGTTACTGTTAGGATGGGAAAAATAATCAGACTTCCAATGTGGTATCCCAAATTCCTTGTTACGACTCAATCCCCACACAGAAAGGGCTTCCAATATATATTCCTTAGCTTTCTTGAAGTATACCCTGGAGCATTTAATGACCTTGAATGACCAGAGCAAACAGTAACCTCTCATTTGTGGATGAAACCCTAGATTCTTGTTATTTTCCCTGATATACCTTCCATGCTAGGTAATGTCATGAAATTTGAACTAGAGGTGGGGGAAATCCAGATATTTGTCCTCTTCTAGAAAGGGCAGTTCTCTTAACCTTGTTTTCTAAATGGATGCCTACAGGTAAAGACAGTGATGTAATATAAGAAGGAAAATCTTTTTTTTGTTGTTGTTTTGCAATAAAGACAGTTTCCTTACTGGTTCTAGAAGCCAGTTTTCTTGCAGGTTCTAGAAACAAAGAGAACAATGCAAAAAATCAATGAAACAAAGAGTTGACTCTTTGAGAAAATCAACAAGACAGACAAACCTTTATCCAAAATAACTAAAGGGCAAAAAGAGAATATCCAATTTAACAAAACCAGAAATGAAAAGGGGGGACATTAACAACAAAAACTGAGGAAATCCAGAGAATCATTAGATCACATTTCAAAACCCTGTACTTCACAAAATTGAAAAATTTAAAGAAATTGACAAATTTCTTGATAGATACCACTCGCCAAAGTTAAATCAAGGTCAAATAAACAATTTAAATAGACCTAAAAGGCCTAAAGAAATAGAAGCAGTCATTAAAAGTCTTCAAGCCAAACAAAACAAAACACACACACACACACACACACACACACACACACACACACAAAACAAGCCCAGGGTCAGAATTCAAGCTGACTTTTAAAGAAGAGTTAATACCAATACTCCACAAAATAGAAACAGAAAAGAAGGAACATCACCAAATTCATTTTCTGGGGCCACAGTTACCCTGAGACCCAAATAACACAGAGATACAAAAAGAGAATTACAGACCAATTTTCCTCAATACATTGACACAGAAATGCTCAATAAAATACAAACTGAATCCAAGAACACATCAAAAAGATCACCCACCATTAACAAGTAGGCTTCATCCCAGAGATGCAGGGATGATTCAACATAGGAAAATTAGTCAGTATAATCCACCATATAAACAAACTGAAAGGACAAAAAACACATGATCTTGTGATATGATTGAGCATCCTTTGGGTGTATGCATAAAAGTGATAGCTTGGTCCTCTTGTAAGACTCTTAACAGTGAGAATATGGGCAGTCTCCAAATCTTTTACTGGCTTTTGTGACCCTACTTCTCATACTGGGTCACCTTGCCCAGTCTTAATACATGGAGAGGTACTTAGTCTTACTGTAACTTGATATGCTTTGCTTTGTTGATACCCATGGGAGATCTACCCTTTCCTAAACAAAAATGAAGGAGGAGGGAGTGGATTGTGGGGTGGGAACAGAGGGGCAGGGTAAGGGGTAGGGAGTGGGGGGAGAGGAGGATGGGAAAAGGTGGCTGGGATGTAAAATAAATAAATTTATAAAATAGCAACAACAACCCCATGATTATCTCATTAGATACTGGAAAAGCCTTCAACAAAATACAACACATTCGTGATAAAAGTCTTGAAGAGATCAGGGATACAAGGAACATACATAAACATAAGCATAAAGGCAGTTTACAGTAAGCTGATTGCCAGCATCAAATTAAATGGAGAGAAACTCAAAGTGATTCTGCTAAAATAAAGACAAAACAAGGCTGTCCATGCTCTCCATATCTGTTCAGCATAGTATTTGAAGTTCTAGCTAGAGCAATAAGATAATAAAGGAGATCAAGGGGATACAAATTGGAAAAGAAGAAGTCAAAGTATAACTATTCACAGATGATATGGTAGTATACAAAAGTAACCCTAAAAGTTCTACCAGGGAACTCCTACAACTTTTCACCTTCAGTCAAGTGGCTGGATACAAGATTAACTGAAAAAAAAATCAGTAGCCCTCCAATATACAAATGTTAAATGAACTGAGAAAGAAATCACGGGAACAACAATGTTCACAATAACCCCAAATCATATAAAATGTTTTGGTGTAACTCTACCCAAGCAAATGAAAGACCTGTATGATAAGAAATTCAAGTCTATAAAGAAACTGGATATTAGAAAAAAAGATATTAGAAAATGGCAAACTCTCCCATGCTCATGGATTGGTAGGATTATCATAGTAAAAATGGCCATCTTACAAAAATCAGTCTACAGAGTCAATGCAATCCCCATTAAAATCTCAACACAAGTCTTTTTTTAAATGTAAATAATTTTGCTGGTTCTTCATATTACCAGTGGATGCACAACAATGTTTTCTGCTAAAAGGTGATTTGTTTATAGATTGTTATATTTTTATTAATTTATTTATTAAAAATTTCCACCTCCTCCAATTTCCCTCCCCCTCCCCCATCCCCCTCTCCCTCCTTCTCCAGTCCTAAGAGAAGTCAGAGTACCCTGCCCTGTGGGAAGTTCAACCCCCCCCCATCCTAGGAAGGTATGCATCCAAACAGACTAGGCTCCCAAAAAGTCAGTACTTGCAGTAAAATCAAAATCCAGTGTCATTATCATTGGCTTCTCACCCCGCCCTCATTGTCAGCCACATTCAGAGAGTCCAGTTTGATCACATGCTGTTCAGACTCAGTCCAACTGGCCTTGGTAAGCTCCCATTAGATCAGGCCAACCATCTCAGTGGGTGGATGCACCCCTCATGGTCCTGACTTCCTTGCTCATCTTCTCCTTCCTTCTGCTCTTCAACTGGACCTTGGGAGCTTAGTCCAGTGCTCCTATGTGGGTCTCTGTCTCTATCTCCATCCATTGCCGGATGAAGGTTTTATGGTGATATTCAAGATATTCATCAGTGTGGCTATGGGACAAGGCCAGTTCTGGTACCCACACCTCTGCTTCCCAAGGACCTAGCTGGGGACATCTCCTTGGACACCTGGGAACCCCTCTAGATCCAAGTCTCCTGCCAACCCTAAAATGGCTCCCTTATTTAAGATATCTTCTTCCCTGCTCCCATATCCACCCTTCCTCCATCTCAACCATCACACTCCCACAAGCTCTCCTCAATCCTCCCCTTCTCCCTTCTCTCTCCTCCTCTCCCCTTCCGCCACTCTATGCCTACCCCCGTGCTCCCAACTTTTGCCCGGCGATCTTGCCTACTTCCAATTTCCAGGAGGATAAATATATGTTTTTCTTTGGGTTCACCTTATTATTTAGCTTCTCTAGGATCATGAACTATAGGCTCAGTGTCCTTTGTTTATGACTAGAATCCACTAATGAGTGAGTATATACCATATTTGTCTTTTTGGGTCACCCAGTAAAGTGTTTTCTATCTCCATCCATTTGCATGCAAAATTCAAGATGTAATTGTTTTTTACTGCTGAGTAGTACTCTAATGTGTAGATATGCCATACCTTCTTTATCCATTCTTCCATTGAGGGGTACCTAGGTTGTTTCCAGGTTCTGGCTATTACAAATAGTGCTGCTATGAACATAGTTGAACAAATGCCTTTGTAGTAAGATTGGGTTGTAGAATTGCTAGGTAGGTTGACTCCCAGTTTCCTGAGAAACCACCACACTGATTTCCA